ACTCCCTTGTTAGACATGTCATCGCAGAAATTTTTTCCCCCTGTTGGGGGGATCTCTTTTTACTCTTTTGACAACACCTTTTGGTGCATATAAGTGTCTTAATTTTTAGGAGGTCCCCATCATCTATTTTGTCTTTTACTATTTATTTCTAATTGTATTTAATAGTATATTTATACTATGTATTACAGCCTCTAAGTTTGGCCCTATGTTTTCATTGATGCTTTTTATATTTCTTGATTTTACATTTAGGTCTTTAATAGACATTGAGTTTTTTGCTTGTTTTCTATATAGTGTGAGATACTGGCATTGCTTCATTTGTCTGCAAATGGATTTCCAGTTTTGCCAGCAACATTTGTTGAAGAGACTCTGTCTTCCCCATTTAATGTATTTTGACCCTTTGCTAAGGGTCATTTGATTGTATATGAATTTATTTATTTATGGGTTCTCACTTCTGTTCCATTGACCTGTCATTGTACCAGTAACAGCCTGTTTAACTACTGTGGCTGTGTAGTAGGTTTTGAGATCAGGAGGTAAGAGGCCTCCACCTTTGTTCTTATTAAAGCAATGCTTTACTTATCCAAGGTCTCTTTCCTTTCCATATAAAGTAGGTGATCCATTTTTCCATCTCTTTAAAGAATGATGTTGGAATCTGTATTTAGGAATCCATTTAATTTATAGGTTGCTTTGGGCAGTGTTGTCTGCCCTCTCTTCTTTCGTTCAGGGTTCTAGGATCGCCATCTGTATGTGTTTCACTCTGGCTCGGTCAGTGTATCTGTTTACTCCGCCATCTTTCCCTGGACTTCTGAGGAATAAGGAAAGTGTTCAGATTCCATTGTGCTGTAACTTCTATTTCTTCATTAGAGAATTGTGTTTCTGTGGCTGCCTGTTTGAGAGATTACACCATTAGGTTTTGCTCAGTGTTATGTTAGGAGACTGGCTCTCTGGGAGAAAAGAAAATATTCTCTGGTTTGTACCCTCTTTCTGTTTTGGTGGTTTAAATACTCCTTCCATGGATAATTTCAAGCTACTAACTTTTTGCTGAGCCAAAGCTGGAAAGAGAATTGGCACTCAAGAGTCTTGTACCAGCCAGCTCCAGCATAGTGCGGTTACATCCTTTTCTTCGTTTTAGACAGGGAGCCTAGGGGGCCTCTTGGAAAGAGTTACTAGGGAAGCCAATACTTTTTTTCAAAGACAAGAGGGCTCTTTAGTTCTCTACTATACCCATATCGCCTAGCCCTGTGCCACAGTAGGTGCTCAGTAAATGTTCCTTTAGTGGATTTTCAGTGATGGGTGATTTCTAAGATTTGTAACCCCATAGCGTAGTGGTTATGAATTAGGCTGCGAACCGCACAGTCAACAGTTTGAAACTACCAGCTGTTTCATGGGAGAAAGATGAGACTTTGCGCTCCCGTGAAGATTTACAGCCTTGGAAACCCTGTACAGGGTCGCTATGAGTTGGAATCGACTCCATGTCACATCACAACAACAACAACAAGTCCTCTGGGGAAGCCCACTGAACAGTTACGATGGGCCCAATTGAGGCCCCTAATATGACCCAATCCCCAGCATCTACTATTTGACCTCTCTCCAAGTCCCTGAGAAAGACCAGGGCCCTCTTGGGAGGATGAAAGCATTAATGCCAAGGCCTTTTCCATTTTACAGTGGTGTTAAGCCCAGCCGGTCTCCACCTGCAAGCCTCTTTCCTATAGTAAATCTTTGCTTATATGGAAACTTTGCCTCACCTGACTGTTTGTAATCAACAGAAAGCAAGACCCCTATCTTGAAAAGGGTGGAGTTGCAGTTAGCCCTCCTTGTAACAATTTGGCTCCAGCTTTTGAATGTTTTCTCTTCTTTCCCCCACACTCTTTTATTAAGTATTAGAGGTGAGAAAATATGGAATAAAGTTTCAGTTCATTAATTTAACTTAAATGCTCCCCTCCCCGCCCCATTATTGAGATGATATTATAAATATAGATATTTTTGAACTTGGTAATACTGTGTGCCTGGGTAGCATTTTTACTTTTCTTAACTAGACTCTAAATCATGTTTTTTTCTAAATTGTGAAGGTTCAGAAACTCTTTACTCAGGTCTTTCAATGAAAATGGGCATTATATTGCTTTATAAAATTACTTTGTGAGTGGGATAGAGAAAAAATGTGGTTGAGTAACTCCCCCAGTTGTATTCCATCCATGTGAATAGTTAGGCTGTAGTCACAAATGCTTCTTTAGAACAGCAAAGCCTTGTTTTAAGTTGTCAGAAATGGCAAAAAGTTTATTTGAAACATGACTTAAAAACTTCACTTTTTCTGATGCTGGAAAAGGAGAGTGGAAGCAATACCCTGAGAAAGTCAAGTTTCCTTGTTGGCTTCTTAGCTCACCAATTCGACAATCCAATGGAGTTTTCCTGCATTTGATATTATAAAATTAATAAATGTTTTTCAAAGCAGGTTTTAAGTTTACAGAAAAATTGAGCAGACATACGGAGAATTCTCACAAGCACCTCCCCCCCCCCCAAAAAAAAAAAGTCCAGAATGTCTCCTATTTATGCAGGCATATCTTGCATATCTGTGATGAGAAGCTCTGGTGAAAGAAGAGTGGCTTCTTCTTTGATAAGCATTGGTGCTTATAAAAAAAAAAAAAAAAGGCCAGCAGTTTCCCATTTTACAGATTGTAATATGAAGCTGACTGGTTGTTCATTTAAATAAGTTCATTTAAATAAGTTCATAAATGAAGCTAAATGAGATTTAATGAAGCCCAGGTAATTTGACTTGAGTTTTTGCCCTGATCTGCTTAAGTGACTTAAACTGTGTTTAAACAGAAAGTTTTAATGGTAGAGCACTTATATTTTCTTTGATACTTCGATACATTAAGTGAGCCATTACAGGCTTAAAAAGATGATTTTGTTTTATATAAAAAGGTAGCTGTAAAAAGAAAGTTCACTTGATTTGTTAAAGAATAACTATTTTTGACTTCTGCTCGTGGTTAAGAAGGAGTAAAGAAAACCAGATTTACGGTCTTTCCTGACAAACCAATGCTTATTAAGATAGCATTAATATTTAATTAATTAATTATTAATAAGCAATGCTTATTAAGATAGCTGTCACCAAGATGTGGAGGACAGTGTGCCCTAAAACTGTGGAGGCAGATTAACTGAGCCCTATGATTGCTCAGCTTTCTTCTTTGAGCGGGTTTCCCGGTTTAGTGCTATGAGAGGACTCCCTTGTACCCCTTCCCATTCAGCCTCCCCAAGAAGAAACTACTATCCTTACTTTTATGATAATCATTGTTTTGTTTTGGATGGACGTTTACAGAGCAAGTTGATTTTCTATTCAACGATGCATACATTTTGTTTTTTTTTCTTAAGTATTTATTATGAATTGAGTCTAAGTTTACAGGGCAGATCATTAGTTTTGCATTCAACAAATCATAAACCTTGTTTCATTACAATGAACCATGTACTGTCCAATAAACAATGGTGAAGAGATTGAAGTTGTCAAAGACTTCATTCTTTTTGGATCAACTATCAACACTCATGGAAGTGTAGCAGTCAAGAAATCAGACAACATACTGTATTGGGCAGATCTGCTCTACAAGACCTTTTTAAAGTGTTGAAGAACAAAGATGTCAGCTTGAGGACTAAAGTGCACCTGATCCAAGCCATGGTATTTTCAGTAACCTTATATACATATGAAAGCTGGACAGTGAATAAGGAATACTATAGAAGAATTGATGCTTTTGAGTTATAGTGTTGGAGAAGAATATTGAAAGTGCCATGGACTGCCAAAAGAACCAACAGATCTGTGTTGGAAGAAGGGCAACCAGATTGCACCTTGGAGGTCAGGATGGCCAAACTTTGTCTTTCATACTTTGGACATATTGTCATGAGGGACCAGTCTCTGGAGAAGGTTATCATGTTTGGTAAGGTGGAGGGTCAGAGAAAAAGAGGAAAACCCTCATTGAGATGGACTGGCCAAGTGGCAGCATCAATGGACTCAAGTGTGGCAACAATTGTGAGATTGGTCCAGGATCAGGCAGTGTTTTGTTTTGTTGTACATAGGGTCTCTATGAGTTGGTACCGACTTGATGGCACCTAACAACAACAACATGTACCATCAGATAACAGTATTTCTCTTACTCACTTAAGCTTTTTTTTTTTTTAAATAAACATTCAGGCATATATAATAATTTGCACCACCAAAGGGCATGTTCTTCAAGTCTGCCTCCTGGCCGCCAGATCTTAGTCCCTCTCTTTCCATGAATCTAGAGTCCTCAGTTGCTACCTCTCTCCATGTCCCAATTTCTGCCTCCATCTCTGGTGTTGGCTGCTTCTCTGGATAAGGTCCCAAATTCTACTTGTGCTCTTCTCCCTTTATGGTCTTAGGGTCCTTTGTTTCTAGTCTGTAAGATTAACTACTCCCCTGTTTTTGTTACTAAACTTCTACCTTTATGATTGTGACAGTCACAATTAATCATGATAACAGTTACTCACTATTGAATCATAAGACTCTTACCCCATCTTTTTTACCAGACCCATCTAGGCAAAATGAAACTATTCAGTGGGGACTCTTTCGTCTTCCACACACTCTTAAACTAAACTTCCTCTTGAAACCTTGTAAGCTAATCACTTTGTGCCTTTATTGTCCCCACTCATTTTAGGTAGCTAATATCTTAAGTTGCCTGTCCCTATCTTCCCTGTGTACAGAGGGGATAGCATTGATACATGTTTTGTTTTGTGACACTGTAATGCTGATAAATTTTTGTCCGCAGAGTATAAGGGAGCTTCCTCAAAAAGATCTGATAAAGTGCATCTAGGCCAAACCTACAGCATTAAATATAATATCATGAAAATTTCCATTATAAAATGTTTAAAAAAGAATTATTACTAAGACAAATGCTTTCCTACATATTCATAGATGTATTGAATAATTATGGTAGCATACTAAGAACTAGAATTGACCTTCCAGATCTTACTAATTTATTGTTTTTTTTTTTTAAATATAGGTCAGTATGGAAATCCTTTAAATAAATATATTAGACATTATGAAGGATTATCTTATGATGTGGATTCATTACACCAAAAACACCAGCGTGCCAAAAGAGCAGTTTCACACGAGGACCAGTTTTTACGCCTAAATTTCCATGCCCACGGAAGGTGAGTAAATTTTTTGCTGTGTCTGAAGAAAGAAAGAAATATATCCAATCGTAATTCAAAGAATAAATTTAAGCTCTTAATTTTCCTTCTGTAATGAATGGAAAGGTTCCCATTTGGAAATTCAGACTCCACTGAAATTCTGTATATGTATTAACAAGTGCCTTTAAAAATGGATTACCCCTTTTATATTGTTAAGCAAGCAAGTCACTTTTAAATGTTGTTAAATGTATCCAATCTTTTGTTTTTAGTGGACATATTTTCTTTTTTTTAAACTTTTTATTGTGAATTGAGTGAAGGTTTGCAGACAGGATCATCAGCTTTACATTCATCAAATTATACACTTTGTTTCATCTCAATGATTACAATCCCTTCCCTGCAACAACAGTTATCCTACTTTTCCGTGTGGCTCGCCATTTATTTCTTACATTTCACATATGAACAAAATAAAAATATTTTGTGTATACATGAAAACCAAAAAAATACATATTTATTTAAATGTCCAAAGGGCGCATTCTGCAAACCAGCCTCCTGCCTGCAGGCCCACAGCTTTACTCAGTTCATGGGCCTGAAGCCTGCAGTTGCTCTGTCTCTCCGTGTTACTTCCTGTGCCACTTTTCTAGGGATATCACACTCCACTGATGCTCTTCTTTCTTGCTGTTACTGGGATCGTCTCTTCCTAAAATGAAAGATTAACTACTTCCTCCTTTTAGTTACACGTCTTCTACAATTACAGTTGTGACAATCACAATGAACTCTGCTAACAGTTGCTCACAGTTGAACAGTAAAATTGTATTAGCAGCATCCTCCATCCCTTTTCACCAGCTCCATCTGGAAAAGAGGAAAATTATTCACTGGGCATTCTACTTTACTCCCTTCATTCTGAAACTAAGCATACTTGTGAAAGCTTGTAAGCCAACCACTTCATGCCTTATAGCCCCCCATTTTTGATAGCCAGTGTGTAAATTGTCTGTCCCTATCTGAGGAAACAAGCTTGTTACTTGATATGAAGAATCTTTCCATTCTGATAGGAATTTTGAATAACTGTATTCATAGTCTAGTTCATCAAATTGTAGCAATTCACACTTGCTCACAGTATTACACAGTTTTATCTTTGTCTGTTTATGTTCTGATCAGCTAACCATCCAAGCTAGGTCAAATGGGTACTAGCGTCAAGTTTGGGAGTTCATGCACACCTCCTTGCACTTCAGACCAGCTGGCCACTTTACTTTCACCTCTAATAACATCCAGGGGCTAGGTCATTGCTCACACGGGGCTCAGTAGTTCACACAACTCCCTAAACTTCAGACCAGCCAGGCTTTCCTCTTCTCTTTTCTCATTTCGAGGTCAATGATTGTCAATGGAACATGGCCAAACTCAGCCCATGTCTTCATTGCTGCATTTCTCCCACTTCAACTCACAGGTAGACCCAGGTGGTCACCAGCAAGCATACTAGATTGCTCACTGATTTCCTTTTAGTTTCAGTATTTGAAGGGGTTTTCCCTGATAGGCTGACTTTTCTTTCCTTGATGCCTCCAATGCAAACAGTTTGCTTGAAATTCAAACAGTCTTAACAGTCAGCTTTTTTTCTAAAGATGTTGCTTTCAATAAGAATTTTTTGTTTTTCCAGCAGTTTTGGGTTGGTCTGCAGGTCTTTTCAAGTGTGATGAATGCCCCAGTTCAGAAGGTTCTGGATAGGGCTCAGGATTTACCTAACACCCCATACTCTACAAAGGCTTAATGAGAGCCTATTTTTCCTGGGCAAATTCTAACTCCCCTTTTAGCCAATCCAATCAGTTATAGGCTGAATATGGGCTTACAAGCTCTCTGTAATCATAATTCCCAATATTCATTTTGTTACACATAAATGTCTATTTTACAATAGTAGGCAGAGGAAACCAGTATCCACAAGACCATCAAAACACATAAACATTTTATCCCCCTCCTTTATCCATTCAACCTGTGTTTTAATCAGTGATCTACACACAGAACACTGTATTTTTCAGGGTTGTGAATAAATTACTATTCATGCCTATCCCATTTAGCCCATGCTTGCCTCTCATCTGCCATCCTCACTTTTCTTGCGTATTGCCTTCCCTTCCTTATATGTTGCCTTCTCTATCACTTGAGCTAACATATGTCTACCTTTTTGCCAGTGAATTACTCTCTCTTCCTGCTCACTCCTGGTAATCATCAAAGAATGTTTCTTTTAGTATGAAAACCTTTTCTTAAACTTTTTTACAGTAATGGTTGTATACAACATTTGTCCTTTTATGGTTGGTTAATTTTATTCAGCATAATGTCTTCCCGATTCATCCATGTTATGAGGTATTTTGCAGATTCATTAAGGTTACATGGTATTCATTCCATTGTGTGTATGTACCTGTTTGTTTATCCATCTTCTATTGATGGTCACTTAGGCTGTCTCCATCTTTTTGCTGTTGTGAATAGTGTATAGAAAATCTGTGTTCATATATCTACTCATGCCCTGGCTCATATACTAAGTAGAGGGATTGCTAGATTATAAGGTATTTCCGTTTCCAACTTTCTGAGGAAGCGCCATACTTTTTTACAGAGTGGTTGAACCATTTGACTGTTGTACCAGCAATTATAGAAGGGTCCCAGTCTCCACACCTTTTCCACCATTTTTTGTTTTCTGGTTTTTTGAACTTCACTGTTAATGCTGGTATGAGATGGTTAACACCACTGGATTGCAGAGTCGGTTTGAACTGCAAGATCAGCAGTTCAAGCTTACCAGCTGTTCCTTAGAAACCTTCTACAGGGTCGCTGTGGGTAGAAACCAACTCAACAGCTCTTAACAACAACAACAATGGCTAATGATTGTGAATATTTCTTCACATGTTGGCTGCCTAAATGCCTTCCTTGGTGAAGTGCCTGTTCATGTTCTGTGCCCATTTTTAATTGGGCTGTTTGTCTTTTTCTTGTAGAGGGGTTGTAGTTTTCTATAAATATTAGAGATTAGTCCCTTGTCTGATACGTTTTTTTTTCTTAAATGTTTTATTGTGAATTATTTATTTGATAGTTTACATGGGAGAACATTAGTTTTACATTCATTCTATCGTATATCGTCTCATTGCCATGATTACAATCCCCTCCATGCAATCCTTCCCCCATACTCCCCAGGTCTTCAGCACACAGTCACTCTCCCTCTCTGGATCTAAAGTCTCCAGCTGCTCCATCGCTCCACATCATCATCTCTGGCTGCATTTCAGGCATCACTGCTTCTTTGGGTAGGGTCCCACTCTCTGCTCTTCTCCCTTGATGCTCCTAGGGACCTCCGCTCCTAGACTGAAGAGTTAATCACTCCCCTCCTTGCTATAAAACGTCTACCACATTTCTGACTCTCGCAGTCAGTCCTGATAACAGTTATTCACTGTTGTATCACAAGAGACCCATCTGCATTTCATTGCATCAGCCCCGCCTAGTCAGATTGAATACTACTCACTGGAGATTCTACCTTCCTC